TGAGTTTTTTTTCGAAGAACGTTTGATATTGACATGCTTTTGTAATTTAAAGTAACATTCTTTATTGTTATTTATATATTTATTTTTATTATTACTATTTATAATATTAATAGCTAATGAGTTTGACGTGTATTTGCGAATATCTAATAAGAAAATCGTATTATGAGTCCTATAAATTGAATACTAAGAGAATGATGAAAAATAAATAGATTGCTTTTCAATTTTCAATATGCTGAAAATGTGTTAACATAATAAAATTAAAACGTAATTTAATAATTCCATATAATACCTGAAAATATTACATGAAATTTACTAAAAATGACGGTATTAAATATGGTAGAAAGTAGATAATCATTATTCTGCACTTTATGGCAATTTTAATGGTTATAGTGTCAGTCATTCCTTCACTGAACAAATCATCTTTGACCAAAACGCAATATTTAACCAACGACTAAAAACAACCACTAACCAAGCCAAAATCACCCTAACCAGGTGCCCAAGATTTTTAGGAACAAGCTAAATTTTAACCCCCCCCCATTAAAAAAAATTGGTTTTTTACAAGAGTCGTTCAATGATAAGCAGTGGGACAATTGTGTGGTAGAAAAATAAATCTGCAGTTAGAAAAGCGAATATACGGTGCACAGATGAAGTCAAGTCTGAGTGCCACGAAAGTCATGAAAACTACTCCAGCTGCTGGAGATATTTATATTTTTACCGGTAAATTTGGGCAGTAACAGCGAACAGTATTTCATGGCCAATTTTTGCCTTGATAATGCTGTACTGGTATTATTACCATAAGGCAAAAAAAAAGTTTATTTTGGTGAATTCAAAAAATTGCAGCAAGGTTGAAAAATTCTCCTACAAAAGCAAAATCAGAGTACGGCTGAAGTACGATTTGATGATTCTGTCTATCAAAAAAGCTTATTGGTTTTTTAAAATACCTGAAATGAGTATAATAACATTTTATTGAAATATTTAATTTATGTTGTGCATATGGTTAGAAATTTGTTGCATAGCAGACATTCTATAGCAGAAAAAAAAATATTTCTGTATAAATGCTTACTACTTTTTCAATTCACGATATTTTTTGTTCTGTTTTCGATTTTATAAGTTTTGAGAGAGGTATTCAAGCTTTTTACCAGCTTTGGACTACTATGACAAATGGAAAAAAAATGTGATGCACGGTTTTGTCATCTCATTCATAACACAAAGACGATAAGTACAGACAAAGGAAAGTAAGTTTTAAGGGAGAAACTACGGTCACTAATGGAAAGCAGGGTCGAAACGGAGTGTATAATATAATCGAGCTCTCTCTCCTCCGGGCTATTTATGTTCCTGCCTCCCGACACTGCTTCCTCTCCGAAATATTGCTTTGCCTGTTTGTTCCTCTCCCTGTCGGAATGAATGTCGCGGAATTAAGATACAGTCGGAAACTCCAATCTTTAATATTGTAAATCCGATCGAAGTCATCGAGAGGGTTATAGGCGGAAAAGGTATTTTCGTCCAGGGGTCCCTGATGCTGTCTGAAGGTCAATTGGGCCGTCATGGCTGGAAAATGTCACTGGTAAATGCCAGGATCGCTTGTTGCCCTAACGAGACCATTACGAAGGTGCTATCTCTGACTAATTCTCCTTCATATCCATGAAAAACGCCGGGAATCTCAACAAACCGTCTTAATTTTCAACTGGAAAATCATATTTATGCAAGGTAAAAAAAAATTGTGAGAACATCTAACTGTAAATTGACCGCTTGTACAATTTCTAACTTTTTGAAAGCATCACAATTGCATTTTCAATGAACTAAAACGTTTCCTGTAGGCTTTCGATTCAGACAGTTATAATGTCAAATGCAAAAAATCTTTTCGAAGAAAAAATATGAAAGAAAGACTTCTATTGATATTATTTTTGCAAATTTATAATACCATAGTTTTAGCTAGGCTTCATTTCTTATGTAAATGCTTAATGCGCATTTCTGCTTATTCTATTTACATCTTATTCTTGATATTTTATTAAAATACAATTCTTTCACTTACTAAGCAGTGTTGAGTTTTAAAATTGCGAGGGGTCTTTATAAACATCAAAACAAATATACATTTTAAACTTAAAGAAATAAAAATTTTCTCAATCAGGATTAAGAAGGTAATCTTATTTTATGTAAAGTATGTGATAATTATACAATTAATATGAAAGTTGCGGATATGGACTAAACTTTTCTGGTGATTCTACACTCCAAATATCGGACACATATACGCCACTTCTTGTGAATAAGCCCTGAAAAAAATTCGCCAATTTTTTTTTAAATTGAAATTTTCCATTTATTGATATTTATCTACTTGTTCAAATCAGCTATGTTATTACATAACTTTACAGAATTTTTTATGTAGATTGCAATAAATTTGCAGGTGTAAGTTGCAAGCATTTCTAAATTTTAATCAATTTTTTGCAAAAAGATAGATTTTTTTTGTAAACAACCCTAAAAGATGTAATCCAGATGGTTCAAGTGAGGTAAAAACGAATAATATATTAACCAATGTAATGTATAACTGAATAAAGTAATAATATAAAAAACGTACAAATTGTATCTGAGACATTAAAGAATATTATTAAATCTGTGTGTTAATTAGTGACCGTTTGTCGATGATTATCCAGAAATCGTGGGATGCGGTCTGGTGTGATGTTGGTTTCAGAAAACCTTTTTTTTTATCGTGCTAACGTTTTGATCTTTATTGAGATCATCTTCAGGGCCTGGGATTTACAAACATTATTTAAATTTAACAAAAGCATGTAGGATGTGGAAAAAAGTGAATTTATACAATGAAAATAAATATTTTTTTATACATTCAATCAAAGTCTTTCTACTCACTCAAATTGTTTGTTTTCTGCGTAAATGTGTGCGTGTTGAGAGTACCACGACACGCAAGAATGGCATAATTACGCAGAAAACAAACACTTTGAGTGAGTAGAAATACTTTGAATATATAAAAAAATATTTATTTGCATTGTATAAATTCACTTTTTTCCATTTCCTACATGTTTTTGTTAAATTTAAACAATGTTTGTAAATCCCAGGCCCTGAAGATGATCTCAATAAAGATCGAAACGTTGGCACGATAAAGAAAATATTTTTCTGAAACCTTCATCACACCAGACCGCATCTCACGATTTCTGAAAAATTATTAATTCTTATCTTTTACCTTAATTTTAAATGAATATTGTAATTGATTTAGACCTTCATAGAAGCTCTAACTTGATGAGTGAAGTGCTATGTCAAATTATCTCTACACATGAGCCGTGCAAGTTATCTTGGAATCTTGGTAAAGTGCATAAGGTACTTCTAGTATGTAGACCATATTCTTAGAAATTATGTAAGCAGCGTAATTTGCAATTTCTTCCTCTCCTGATTAACTTGAGATATATAATCATATTATTCACCCTATTTTTGTACGTAGTAGAACGTCTCAACTCTTGTATCCAGTTAATTAAAAAAAGGTTTAAATTTTTTTCTACTAATTTGCCTGGGTTAATTTACTTTTTAATCATTGATTAGAAATATAATTCCAGCGTTCCGTTTAAAATCATAAGTTCTCTAAATTTTATACAAATTCAACGTTTCTACAATCGTTTGAAATATTTATATAATATATACTTCTTCTTATTTTGCCAATAATGATCATATTGTATGTTATTGAAAGTGGGGAAAATAATGTTGAGATCAACAAAAATTCTTTAAACTTTTTATATTTATGTCTCCAGTGCTACATCATTAAGAGAAAACCAAGATTGTCTATTAATAGTTGTCTAAAGGTTTGTAAATTCAATTTATTACTCTTTCTGCGATATCAGAAAAAAACAGAGGCATTTGGAAGTCAAAGGTGTTTGGGACATTTTTGTTGTTGATTTTCTCAAAAAATTGTAATGGTTTTTTGTGGTAAACAAAATAAATGTTAAAATTTTTGCCAAAAAATTAACTTGACCACATAGCTAAGAAGTCCATTTTTTTGCAGCATAATAATGCGTATTTTTGGGCATTAAAGGCTCCTTAAAAGGAATCCGAATTGTGTTTTTTTTAAAGAAAAATTTCAGGCCAAATTTCTTTTTTCTTACTTTTTACATGACTAGTCTCTCTTAATAAAGTCCTGCACTTATTTTCTTATCCTAATGTGGAATATTTGCACCAAAAGGCAAAAGACCACATTTAAAAGCAAAGTAAATTACTTACAATATTTTTTCTCGATTCCTAAGACTCATAAGCACGAATACTTTTCGATCTAGTTTCACCAAAAATTTCACTCCCGGTGATCCAAGTTGCCCTTGTAAGTATCAAGTATAATTACTGTATTTTAGTTCCTTTTTTCGAAGTACATTTTGAATGTATGCTATTTGTTTAATATTACCAAATTCAGAGTTTTGTTTCTTATAAATATTGAGTAGATTAATAATCAGTGGATCTAACTATACTGGGCTACCTAGGAAAATTGACAATTATTTTCAAAGTAGAATTTTGAAAATGTAAATCTGATGGAGTAAATGTGAACAGTCAGAACAGTGAATTTGTGTGAATTCACGTGCTTCATTTATTTAATCCTTCGTTTTAATTCATAAAAGTCATTCTAAATGACGATGGTGTTGTTATTACCCTCTATGGAACACTTGAAAAAGAGAAAAGTTCATCACTTTTTAGGCTCAATCTCAAAGGTTTCTGTGCTGCTATTGAAATGATGATGAGAGTGCAAATATTTAAACGGAAGGTTTTGTGCTACATCCCTTCAAATCATAGTGCATACCTGTACAAATATACATAAACCGTACTTACAAAAAGAAATTCTTGAAAATATTTTTTTAATTAAAATTATTTATATATTGTTATTCCACTGGTTGTTTTATTATATACGGTTTTACCATTGTGTACAATACTATTTCACAATTTATATATTATCGTAAATAATTAAATCACTGAGATATGTTTTTTGTAGGATTTTTCTCTGGCACCCTCTTTAGGCAAATTTGTATACCATGTCTTGTTTTATCCAAACATATGGCAATTTTTAAAGAAGCTAAATTGAATTGGAGAAAAATTTGTTTTTTGCTTTTTGGATTCTAAAAATAACTAAAGTCTTTCTATTCAAAAATGAATCTCTGGTGGAGATCATCGTTGCTGAAGCGGGACACATTCTTTAATGTTCCCGACGCCAAGACATTTCCGAACTTTAAACCTTCGTATGAAAACGTAAGTACGTTTTCTTAAAATATGGATGCAAAAAGTCTCGCGTGAGTACGGAAGCATAAATGTCTCACACGGAAACTCGGATGTTCGTTCTATGGGTCCGTCTGATCTGGTAATCAACGAAATTTATGTCTATTTGTCTGTGGTTAGAGTTGTTACACTACTTTGCTTAGAAATCCTTGTCTGCCATTTTATGTACCTTAATTCAGGTCACGTTGCTTGTTGATTAAAAAAAGCGAGCAAATGACAAAAGGCTGAACCCCTGCTATAAACGCTAATATGACTATGATGGCTAACTCTTTATTAATTAAAAATAGAAAACAAAAATCTTTCTTCTTCTATCGATCTTTCCCTTCTCCCTTTCTCCCACCCCGCACTCTCTCTTTCTTTTTCTCTCTCGCTCTCTGCAACTCTCCCGTTTTTGTAATCTCGTTAACTGTAAGAGAGATCACGTGAAAAAAGGATCATCGGTAAGGTCACAACGGAACAATTCTTTCGGTTTTTGCCGCCCTTTCGATGATTATATCGTCCTCATCGAGTTAGAGCATTCATGATGACGATATAATCATCGAAAGCTCGGGAAAAAAACCGAAAGAATTGTCGTTCCGTTGTGGCCTCACTGAAGATCCTTTTTCCACGTGGTTTAGCAGGAGGTCTTTCATTCTTTCTCCTCTCTCTCTTTCTCCCTCTCTCTCACTTTTTCTCTCCCTTTGTTTCTCTCTATCTATCTCTTCTACTCTCTCACTGTATTTTCCTGACCCCTTTTTTCACACTCTCCCTCCCTCCCACCGTCTCTCTCTCCTCTCTATCTCTCCCTCTTTCTTCTTTATTTTTGTAATGACATAATAATGTTTTATAACTTCGACCAAAATGTCAAGAAATCGTCCTGTTCTCTAAGGATGTGCAATTATTTTGAATGCTTTTTGTTTGGCCACACAAATCTTTTGGCTTATTAGCTACAATAAAAGTAATAAGTGAATCTGTTGAGCACTTTGAGACGTCTACAAAATATAGTTATGTCCTAAAAAATAGTGCACAGCTACATTGTGTGCTCATATCACCACATTTTTTATGCTTACTGCTTCTCTTCTAAGCTAAATTATGTACGTGGCGTCCGTTGTGGCACGATTCTGGGACCCACCCTTTTTTCTCTGTGTACAGTAATTGCGCCCTTCAAATAGTCATTGTCAACTGTTTATTTCTTAAATGCAGATGAAATTGATTTTTTTCTTTAAGTGGTTTATAATTACAATTTTGGGGAATATCAGTAGTTTTGTAGGGTTCCGGCTGTTTCCTTCCTTACTCTAATTACTAAGCGTGCAAGTACATACAATTTGCTAATTTTTAAACCATAAATGAAGTTTACAAGCCCCCAAACGAACAAAGAGGATTTTCATAGAAAAGATCTTTGGAAGGATCATTCAACTATCCGATAAAAACCCAAGAAAAAGATTATTCGGAGATCGTGAGATGCGGTCTGGTGTGATGTAGGTTTTAGAAAAATATTTTCTTTATGGTGCTAACGTTTCGATCTTTATTGAGATCATCTTCAGGGCTCAAAGTGTTTTTTTTTTCTGCGTAAATGTGTCATTCTTGCGTGTTGTGTTGAGAGTGCCAGCGTCACTGAATTTTAATTGGTGTAATTTTTGTGTTAATGTCTTAATATGTTTAATGCTCTTGGTGATTTCTATGTTTAAAATGTTTTTTTTTGTATTGTGGCCTTATGTATGTCGTTAATTTTGGTGTTGGGTTGGGTTAGTATGGCATTTGTGAAGTTACATTTTTTTTGATATAGGAAATACCTTGTGTTGTCTGCATTTCACCAAAAAATTCTCTCATTAATAGCCTATGCGAGTTTCTTCTCATTGTTAGCGATGTCCTTCAGAATACTTTTTGCTTGGTGTTATAGCAAAAAAATGTAATTGAAATTTGTTCATAGAATCCCATGTTCTTCGTTCTCGTGTAGAAATGTGTGTTGTTTAGTGACCGTTAGTCAATGATTATTCGGAGATCGTGAGATGCGGTCTGGTGTGAACGGCACTCTCAACACGACACAATTACGCAGAAAACAAACACTTTGAGCCCTGAAGATGATCTCAATAATAATCGAAACATTGGCACGATAAAGAAAATGTTTCTCTAAAACCTACGTCACACCAGACCGCATCTCACGATCTCCGAATATCATTGACTAACGGTCACTAAACACCACACATTTCCAAGAAAAAGATTTTGACTGTGTCTAAAGAAAGCGTTTTCCGCCGAGATGGAGTCTCACTTTCCGATAAAAACCCAATGCCTTACAAGGGCATAACGAATTATGGGAAATATAAGGACTCGACAAAATTATGTCCTTTGTTTTAGTTGCACGATAAAAAATTCATCTAAACATCAGCACATGATTTATATAGAAAAGTCGTCAATAAGTTTTTAATAGTCCAATACGACTTTAGTATCACACAGCACAATTCTACCACATTAAGTATTAAACCTAAAACAATAACTTAACAATAAAGCCTTACAAATTGAAGTACCATAATGATTTTATTAATATAAATTAAACTATTTTCTAACATTTATTTTAGATTGTCCAAATGCCTTTGCCCTTTTTTTCTATCATCTGCTATTAGATTAAAAATGTACGAGAAAGACAGGAATCAACTATTTCAATTGTTCTTTATCTTTGATTAATAAACGTATAGTTAAATTGATTTTATACTGGGACCTCCAAATTATCAAATAATTCGGCTCAAAATTAGAATATACTTGGTAGCTAAATTTTCTAACTTTGTTGAAGTAGATAATGTTATTCTATATAGTTTCCATTCATTGCCAGTGTCTTAAAATTTTTGTTTTTATTGAATGAATAATGCACTTTTTGCTCTAGTTTTATTTGTTGCAATTGCTTGAATTAGTTTTTAATAATTTTTAGGAAAAACACGATATGTGGGCCGTGATGAGGATGGACTATCAGAAGCGGTGGGAAGCCGAAAGGGACGAAGTTAGGGACGACTACGAATTTTACAGAAAGGAAAAGATGAAATACTTGCAGAGACGTTACGTCACAAGGATGAAGAAGGCAGAAATGCGCAAGGAACAGCTCCTGGGGAGGAAATTGGCAGAAATGTCTATTCGCAGGTACGGACGCTGATAAAAACCAATTGGGAAACAGTCTAACGTTACATCCGACAGCAAGTTTTCAGGTGTACCAGCCCGCGTCGACTCGAATCTGAAGAGGAGCCAGAGCGAGGCGTCGAGGCCCACGAGAGGATCTGGCGACGGCTCGAAGAAAGTTGAACTTAAAAAAAGTTCGGAGACCGCCAAAAACAAAGTCGCTGCCAAGAAGACCCCTCTGGGAGATAAGGAGGCATCAAAAGTCCCTAGTTTAAAAACCCTTCCAAAATGTTGCGAGGCCAACAAAGAAAAACTGGAAGAAGAAAAGCCCATCGAGGAACCCGATAAAAACAATAAGGAAAATGAGTGTTTATGTAAAAAATGTGAATAAAAAAAAGTGAAACCTTTTCGTTGTATATAAAATAAGGTCAAAATAAAAATAAGAATTTTATGTCATAAACATACTTCGTTTACATCTTTATAAATTTTTATCAATTTCTTACTAAATTTACACTTAGAATCTTCTCTATGTTGAACATTCAACTTAAAATAAATATTTAGATTTGGAAATAGAATCTAAGATGATAAACAAATCGAATAAGCCGAGTGCTGGTTTAAATATTGCCTTGATTATAGTAAAAGTATTTTCTTTCGGTTATAAATAGCATATATCCGAGAAAAAATATATATTTTTTAAATATCTTCTTTTAAAGCAGAAAAATCTCACATGATTTTGATCCACCTAGTAAGTTCGTGGAGTTAATGAACGAAGCAAAGAAGCCAGCGAGATTGGCCGGACCCGAAAATGGATGATAAGAATGAAAAACCATAAATCAAAAAAATTGTATTAATAATTCACTTGTCATGAAAATCACGACAATTTTTAATTGACTTTTTGTTTAACTTTTTTTATGTTGTAATTTTCAAGTTAAATTATTATTATTAACAATGAATGAAGCAATGTTATTTTATTTTCAAACAAACAATAATTTATTTAGAAAAATTCTTATTTTGTATCTGTTTAGATTTGTTAAGTCAAGAAAATTTTGTTATTTTGATTTGTATTACATAAAAATGTAAATAGTTTATTTGCCAAACAAATAGTTACAAAAACTAGCTAGTTTTTGCCATAACAAGCAGTAGCTTGAAAGCTCGTAGCGTCTACTTCGTAATGTAACGTTATCAGGTTAGCAAAAGAAATATAATTCTTATTTGTATGATTATTTGGATTGAGATTTTTTTATATTTTATTTCGAAAATTTTTTGTTTATTTTTTAGAAAGGAATATATATATTTTTTTGGAATTCGGATTTTATTTTATTTGTATTATTTCGAATACGCAGCAAGGATTTTGTAAATATTATTTTTTATTAATTCGGCAGTTTCCGAATAAAATATACCACAAACCTTCATTACAAACTCCATTACAAATTTTATTCATTAATTTGTGATGATTGAAAAGTGATATATCAAAGAAAAATTTTATAAGTTGATAAATTTTTTATTTCTTACCGATGTTTTCATTTAATCTCATTGTATATTTAAAAAAAAATTAAATTGTAGGTAGTATCTGTCATCATCTTGGGCTGTAATTTAATTTAAAAATATATATTTCTATTTTTAAAATATCGAACATTTATAATAAACTCATTGTGTGAATTTCAAAAGGTGTCTGACACAAATGAGAAAATTTGTTCTTAATATAGAATTGCCCATTAATATTTGGACGTTCGACGATTTATTGTTTTCATTGTTCATTCAGTTGTGAATTACGTTTGTGCATTGTTTACGCGAAATTAAAGACCGGCGTGTTTGTGTTTACTCTCGCCATATCTCTCCACACATCAAATTTACTGTTGTTGTTGTTTTTGGGCAAAGTTATCGTTCTATTAATTCTAGTCAGAGCTACGCGGATCAGGCGTTGTAAATAAAAATGTTTACACGTTCGAATACGAAAGGTAATGATTTAATCATTTAATCGATTTTACGGACAAGAAATTTGCATTTCTCTACTTCTGTATGTTTGATGTTCTAAAATTATTTCGTCAATTTTTCATACTCCCCAAGTTACTATTTTTATGACAAAAAACTAACAAACAACCATGAATTAAAATATGATAAACTCAAGCATGTTGAACCAACACTTATTGTATAGCTTATTGTATTTTATAACTTCAAATTTATTAACAACTTTAATTATTAAATTAATTTTCAGTCATGTTGAAAAGGATAAATTCCAGTTTTTCTTTCTTATTTAGAGGCATGATATTTGATAGTTTTGTAATATTAGTTTTTCTAATAACGTTTAATTTTATTATTATAAAAATTTTAGAAAAAAATGCTAAGAACTTTATGTAAGATATTGTTTGAGATAAAAAAATTCAGTCCTTTTTAAAAAGATAGTTCCTACTCACAGTAAGTTGTTTAGCAACGATCCGGATTTCGAGCCCGTTAGCTCATCATCAGGTTGAAGGACTTCCACAACCACCTCTATCGACATGAATTGCCAAAGTGAACCCGCTGATACCTCCGCCAACACGACGTTCCAATTAGCAGCTGATCTTTTTAATGGCGCTCAATTTGAACGTGCGAAACGCGGAAATTATAACACACATAAATATTATACTAGTAAATACTTAATATTATTAAATTGCTATAAAAATAATAACAATTAAAATAATTCGTTTAATTATTTGGATGTTTGATGTTATTTACGTTCATATTTAAAATGGGAGGTAGGTACTCTGAAACGTTAAAATTGAGCGCCATTAAAAAGATCAGCTGCTAATTGGAACGTCGCGTTGGCGGAGGTATCAGCGGGTTCACTTTGGCAATTCATGTCGAGAGACGTGGTTGTAGAAGTCCTTCAACCTGATGATTAGCTAAAAGGCTCGAAATCCGGATCGTTGCAAAACAACACCACACTCACTCCATCATTTATCATTTCTATAAAAAAAATTCAGTGTCACGAGTCAATAAATTTTTAATAGTACAATACGACTTTAGTATCACACAGCGCAATTCTACCAAATTAAGGATTAAACCTAAAACGATAATTTAACCATAAAGCCATACAAATGGAACTACCATAACGATTTTATTAAAATACATTTATGTATTCACTAGCATTTACTGTAGACTGTCCATTTATCTTTGCCACCTTTTTGCTAATTTAATTAATTTGCTTGACTTTGAGTGTACATTATCAATAGATGCTTCGTTGTTGTTATATTTGTTAATTTGATTCGCGATCAATTTTTCTAACCGGATATATCCTGGAAAAACTATGTTGGTAGCCTTACAAATTATTATTTAAAAAAAGGTTTAAAATCCTGATTAAGGGGGATTATTCTTTACAAGCTTGATTAAGGAAGTCGATTTTTCTTTACTCCTTTCTAATTAGCTTCATCTTTGATATTTGTTAAATATTTATTTCATTTTATCATTATAAAAATGGTAGACAGTTCTTAAGAACATTGAGAACAACATCCCTTGGACAGTATTGCTTGGATGTCTTTTTTTGATTTACATGCCTTCGATCCAGTCTGACACTCGGGCTTGCTTTGGAAGCCAAAGAACATCTCCCTAGTATTTAGAAAATTGCCATGTTTTCAATAATTGAACCTATAATTTATAACGCTATTGATTTTCATATTTTCTCTCATATTTTTTTTAAATTTTATCAGCTTAATTTTCCATCATTTTGTATTCAACATTGAAATGAAAAGCCTTCCGAATTAATATTGCCATTTTGTTTGAGACATTAGGGAAAGTCTGTTGATTTACAGAACCAACTGAGACCATCATTGAACTACACCTGCTGAGAAAAGGAAAATTATTCAATACAAGCACCGTCATTGGAATGTATAAAAGAGCCTTTTGATTCTGGAAAGTGAAATTTTAACCTTTCATGGCCTCGTGACGGGCCACATGTAGTTAGAACAACTGCAGTAAATAGCCCAAGAGAACAGGAAACAGTTTTAAACGTTCTTCACAACTTCTTCCAAAGCTGCGGATTCCTTACTGAACTTAATCAACATTTAGTGATTAAATTAGACTAATTATATGACCAGAGTTGGAAGGTCAATTATTTATTTTAAGACTTCTGTGTCAAGTTAAACCTTGCATTTGACAATGATTATATTATTCGGAGATCGTGAGATGCGGTCTGGTGTGACGTAGGTTTTAGACAAACATTTTCTTTATCGTGCCAACGTTTCGAACTTTATTGAGATCATCTTCAGAGCCTGGGATTTACAAACATTAGATACGCCGCTGCTCTACCACTTGAGCTATCGTGACCTCGATCCACTCGATCACTAACTTCCCATCTCAATCCCACCTTTGGAATTTGCCCTCCTTTTTGCCATTTAGTGTCCGTTTCTAGCATTGCATAAATTCATTTTATTTATTTATTTTTTTATTCTAAAATTTCTAGCATTGACTAAATTCATTTTTTCACATCCTACATATATTTGTAAAATTTAACCAATGTTTATAAATCCCAGGCCCTGAAGATGATCTCAATATTGATCGAAACGTTGGCACGATAAAGAAAATGTTTTTCTAAAACCTACGTCACACCAGACCGCATCTCACGATCTCCGAATAATCATTGACTTACGGTCACTAAACACCATACATTTCTAAACGATTATATTGTTTAAACTAATAATATTTTTTCTATTAAAAGTATTGAAAAATATTGTTCAGAAATCGTGAGATGCAGTCTGGTGTGATGTAGGTTTCAGAAAAACATTTTCTTTATAGTGCCAACGTTTCGATCTTTATTGAGATCATCTTCAGGGCCTGGGATTTACAGACATTGTTTAAATTTAACAAAAACATGTAGGATGTGGAAAAAGTGAATTTATACAATGCAAATAAATATTTTTTTATATTCAATCAATGTATTTCTACTCACTCAAAGTGTTTGTCTTCTGTGTAATTGTGCCAATCTTGTGTTGAGATGCGTGTCGTGTTGAGATGCCCCAAGTATTGAAAAACTATGTAAGGTTTCCTTTATTAATCAATGAAATTTCTGATGTTTATAGGTTATCAATTCAACAAAATGAAGCTTATTAAATAGTTATACTCATCACTGTAAGGCAAAGGTCCCGGGTTCGAATCCAGCGGCCTGCTTTCGAACCCGACGTACTTACAAATGGGAATTTTTTTTAAACACCGGCACCCTGAGAGTTGATATGACCTCTGCTGTTGCCAACCCTCATTAAAAATACAATAAAAAATGAAAACAAATAAAAAAAATTAAAAATAAAAATATTGAAACTCCTTTTATTTTAGTTCTTGTTGAATTCATGCGAGGGGGTATTTATTGAATTTCATAACCTCAGAGAATGTTCTGAGCCCTTTTTGGAGCTTTTAGGACTTGAAAAGGTCCAAAAAA